CAGCAGAGGGCAGCACGAGAGCAGGCATTGCATACACGACGTGGCCAATGGGGACCCCAAACGCCTCGATGCGCAAAGCATTGGTCGGGATCTTAGTTGAAACACCTACCGACGGCGTCAAGGGCACGAGAACCAGCTGGTTTTTTTTAAACGTCTTCATTGCCACAACGGAAACAACAGCAGGCTTTGGCTTCGTCGTGTAAATCACTTTCACATCGACTGAACTCTCAAGCGCAGCAAAAGAATCGCAGAGCGCCTGCTGAACCCTGGCCTTGACGCGGCCAAGCACGACCTCTTTCGCGTCCTGGCGCGGCGCGGAAGGGGGGAGGCAACGGGAGCACGACCTTTCCTCACACTTCTCCTCATCTTCCTTTTCCTTCTCCTTCTTCGCTCTTTTCGCCGTTCTCCTCTTCTATTTAAAGAACTCGCTATTCCTCCTCCTCTTCCTCCATCTTTCTCCTTCTCTCATCTCGACTCCTCCTCCTCCTCCTGCTCATCCTGCTCCTCCCCTCCCTCCTCCACCTCCTCCTCCTCCTCCTCCTCCTCCTCCTCCTCCTCCTCCTCCCTCTTCTCAAACCCGCGGCCAGCCCCGCGGTCCAAAGCAGACGCTGACGTCTGGCTGATGTCGACGCTCAGCTGCTCGATGAACGGGATCGCCTGGCATCGGCTTGGGGGGTCAGCGCCAGGAGGACGCCAAAACTAAAGGATAATACGCAGGGCCCGCGGGTGGATGGGGCGTGGGGCACGGGGGAGGGCGTATCCAGAGGCCGGAATGCTGTGCTCGACCAGGTTGGGGGCCCAGCAGCCCCGCGGAGAGAACGCAATGTGTTTTTCATGTAGTTTCGGCTCCTCCCCTTTGCAGTCTCCTCCTCCTCCTCCTCCTCCTTCTCTTTCTCCTTCCTCCTCCTCCTCCTCCTCCCCCTCCTCCTCCTCACCCTCCACCCCTCCTCCAGTCCAAGGCTCAAGAGGAGAGCGAAGGTGGCGTGGCCTTGAACTCGTCCACCAACTGACCAGTGGCCAGGTTGACAGCCTCCAGCTCCTTCTCCTCCTTGACCGTCTTGGCGAGGACGCCTCCGATGTCAATCTCGCCTAGGGCCAGCTTCGCTTGCTCCTCGGTCAGCGGTCGAATCATTGCGTTGAAGCTGTCGATCGCCACGATCGTGTACTTCGTGTCTTTGTCATCGCATTTTTTCTTGTGCACCACTGCGTTAACCTTCAAACCCAGGCTGGCGAGGTGGCTCTCATCAATGCCGCCACCCTCCACGAACTTGACGAGGTCGCCCTCTCGCTTCTTGATCTTGGGGGAAGAGTTGGGGCCCTTTACCGACTTCTTGAAAGGCGCTGACATCGTCCTCGCATCGGGGGCGAAAGCGAAGATGTCCTCGAGAAACTGTGCAGCCACCTCGCCCAGATTCTCGAAATGCTTCCTGCCTTTGCATTGCTTCTTCATGATGACCATCACTGCTCTGACCTCCATGTCGCCGATGACCTTCGTAATGTTGGTCTGCTGCAGCGCCCCTGCAAAGCCGCCCTGCATGATGTCCGAGCACCACTGCTTTGCGCTCCTCACCATCGAGACAAGCTCCATGCAAGCGGGTCTCTGCTTGGATAGCACTGCCCCGATGTCTGTAGTCGAGAGCAATTTCGATGTCCCACCCGAGCAGTATTGATCTGGACTGACCAAGCACGCCTTCAGCATGGCGATCGCGAACTCGGGCCCGCTGCAGAAATCCAGGCTCGAAAGCGCTCTGAATGTCTGATTGCTGACTTCTTTCCGAAACTTGAGGGTTTTCGTCCAGCGGTCGAGGTCTTTCAACAGAATTCCGTTCTCTCCTCCGCTCCATTTTTTCACGAATTCAACCAAGTCTCCAACTTTCCCAACAAGATATGGCTTTGAACTCTCCATACTTCTCACGACAGATTCCCAACGAAACTCCTGGTGCGATCTGAAGTTGCGCATTGCAGAAGCATGGATCTGCATCAGAGACTGGGTGCAAGTCTGTAATCGCTCAGTGCCGTGGCCCGAGTTGAAGGCCTCCTGGAGGAAGATTGGCAACGATGGGATGGCCTGTTCGATTTGCCACCTGATCACACACCACTGGAGGCCCTCGTCGCACGCCTTCGCGTACGCAGGGTCGATCGCCCTGAGCTGATCCAGGGAAAGGCGACCGTCCGAAACGTAGTCCTCGTCCAAGAAGGTTGAGCAGCCCGCCAGCCACGCGTTCAGACCACAATTCGTGTGAGTGGCTGCAACACTGAGTCCACGGACGTCGTGCTCTAGGACGCCTGCCAGCAAGCCGTCGGATTCCTGAGCCAATCTAATATTGAAGTCGACTTGCTCCTGCTTGCGCTCGGGATTCACTTCGAAACAGCAGGCCTCGGACGCTTTCCGTGCCACGAAACCTTGATCCACGATCCTCTTGAGGAGGCAATGTACGTCAACAGGGTCTGCTCCCGCCTTGTCGCGGTTCTCACAGTGAGGAACCACGCATGGTGGCCTCAAGGTGGCAACATACGCGAGATCCATCTGCAGAAGAAGTTCTTTGATCCTCTCGCCTTTAGCCAACATCTGCTGTCCACTATCCCCCTTGTCCGAACCTTTTGACATGATCTGCTCGACCATTGGCACCGCTATGCGAAGCGAACTCTCCATCTCTGCCGAGATCGTGGCGACTGGACCGAAGAAACCAGAAGGAAAACGCCTGGCTGAAAAAAACAGCTGCGGCAGCGACGACAGCGCAAAAAAAGACTGCTCCCTCCCTCCCTCTCCTCTCCTCCCCTTTCTGTTCCTCTGCTATCTCTCCCGCTGGTCTTGGGTTATCCTGGAGGTCCCTGATGCCCTGGAATTGTCATTTCGAAGTGTCCTGGAACCCCTCCGAGGTCAATCCCGTGGAACCCAGACCCTTGGAACCGAGACCCTTGGAATCTTGTTTGCCACTGGACTCAAATATGGATTTGCGCAGAGGGTCGTTTGGGATGCAGACTTCTCCAATCAGATTTCCAAGAGCCCATATCAATAATTCCGCATACCCCTCATATAAGAGGAGGCTCTGAGCGTATGAAAACTGATGTTATTCAACTTAAAAACCAGGTTATGTAACTACCCATCTCGCTTACGCTAACTAGGCTAACCGAGATACGCACTTAGCATAAACAAGTTACGGAGGCCCGCTAAGTAGGCCGAACCACTTAGCCCTCGGCCGTAAGTAGCCTAAGTGGTTAGCTGTGGTTAGGCTGGGGTTCAGCCTCTTATAAGTTAGGTTGCGCAGGTTATAACCTACGTTGTAAATACGTTATAACTCGTGGAAACACTAAGGAACCACCGCGGTGGTCCCAGTACGCACCAAGCTCAGCACCGGTTTTCCGGACGAGCCCAGCCAGGTTGCCCCTCCGGTGCCGCGCAAGTTCAGAGCATTGCTCCTGCGCGTTATCGTCGTCCCCATCACAGTGCTATATCCTCCTGACCCTCTCGCTGCCCCGACGCCCTCCTCTTCCCCCTCAGGCACACCCTTACTGATCACACTGCGATTCTTCCGACTGTGCGACACTGTGTAGGTTTCTTGTGTTGCGCGGTCGGCAGTTCTTGGTCGGCGCCGTATTGCCATTCCCGTTCGCTGCTGGATGGCTGGCTCTACGTATCGCAATTGAGCGTTCCCAGTCGGTCCTACATGTTTGGTGCACCGTGCAGATTGCAGGCTACACTTGTTGCACCACGTAGCGTGTTCATCGGGAGTGCTGGAAACATCTGTTTGAGGTCCACGCTCTGGTATTAACGTATTGGGTGCGGCAGCGATCGGGATTAAAGTTCCTCATCGAACCAAGCTCCGGATGCTCAATACTCGCAAAGTTCAGAGCCGCAGACTTTGTTTTCGGAGCATTGAGAACGTGGTGTTTGTAACGTCCCCGTGGGCGCAGCGCCACAGATCAACGGTAAGTTTCCCTGCGCGCATGGTTGGCCCGAGGAAACAAAGTTTAACTTTCAGCACGCGCACCGCGTTTGTTGCACCCGTTTCAGCTCAACCATCCTCCTTATCCTACAGAGGAAAACCATGTCCAAAAAACATCCTGCTTGCCTCCAGGGTACCCTGGGCTTCTTGGGTTTCGATGGTTTCGCTATGGGAAGCGTGACGTTCCGACACCACGAAGCAATGGACGTCCGGGGGTCTCAAGGGTAGAAGGTTTCTTGTGGTCGAGCTCCTACTGTGTATGAGGGACGCGGAAAAGCTCACTCGCCCTCGCGGGCATCGGCGCGTAAGAGTTGCCCGCGCAAGGTCGCGCGCATACGCGGGGTGTGCCACGCGCGGGCGGCGCCCGCGCGTAAGCTGCGGCATAAGGCCTCTGTGTCTTCTTGCGTCTTGGCATCCCTCGGACGTGTGCGTGTTTTGTCTTCGGCGAGGGCCATCGAGGAGCATCCTGGATCAGCCAGCGCAAAAAACAAAAAACACGCACGGCACCGAAACGTGCACGAGGAAGGCATGCCCGAGCCATGGCGAGGCGTCAGGCCCGCTTCCATCTCTCTCCTTGTGATGTTCCAACCTACTTTAGCCTTGACCGCCAGAAACAGTTTCGAGCGCCCCCCCCAAAAAAAGTCCCCCCCCCGAAAAAAAGTGCCGAAACTCGAGGGCTTCCACGTGCCGGGCCCTGGGAGGCACTCGTCCGACTCTGTTCCAGCACTCTTTCGACACTTTTTTGGGTGCTCGGGATTCTTTCTGGGGTGTGGTCTTTCAGCACGATGGGAGCAACCTAGCTTTATGTCGGGCGTGTCCCCCTACAGGGGGATTTCCGACGAAAAATAAAAGATATTCCAAAAAATCAAAAAGGTCAAAAGATACTCAAAAGATAGTCCCCAGACTATTTCTGGACCATGTTTGGACTATGTTTAGGGTAGTCTTTATCTTTCGTCGAAGATCCCCCTGTAGGGGGACAGTCCCGACTTGAACCTGGCTCCCTTCGTCGCCCCGTCGGCCGCGACGCTGCAGCTCTGCCCCGCGGCCCTCCGGCTCGAGGCGGCGACCACTCCCCCGGAGGCGCGCACTCCCCCAGGGCGCCGTGCCTCTAGGCCTCCTAGATCGGGTCGGAGTAGATGGGGTCCGAGGATCGCGCCGCATCGCCGATGCATCGGCGATGCGGCTCGATGTGGAGCCCGTGTTTCCCCACGCCGACGTCGCCGATGCATCGCTGACGTCGTCGATGCATCGCCGGCGCATCGCCCGCCGATGCATCGCCGATGCATCGTCGATGTATCGGCGATGCGGCGAGATCCTCCGACCCCATCTACTCGTGGCCGGAGGGCCCGCCCATGGCAGCGCCCTCGCGGCCGGAGGGCCCGCCCATGGCAGCGCCCGCGGGCCCGAGCCCCCCGCCTCCGCCTCGGAGCGGCGACCCCTGCGCGCCCCCCGGGGCCCAGGCGCCGGCGCCCGCAACCGCCTCCTCCTCCTCCTCCTCCTCCTCCTCCTCGTCCTGGGCCTCCTCCTCGTCCTCCTCCTCCTCCTCCTCTTCCTCCTCCTCCTCCTCCTCCTCCTCCAATCCCTCTCCTTCGCAATAACTTCTCCCTGTCGCACCCCGAGGCCAGTTTTGACCACTTATGACTCTGAAGCGTAAAAAAATGGCAACAGCTTCGCAGATGGAGGGCGGCTCGTTTTCAAAACGTGGCTCTCACTCTAACGCCGCGCACACTCGTTTCAATAATTTACAAGAGCTTCACGGATTGAGGGCGAGGGCTTTTCAAAATGTGGTTCTCGCCCTGGCGCCGCGCGCATTCGTCTTGAAATATGTGCAAGCGTTTCACGGTTGATGAGGGCGAGTCGTTTTCAACATGTGGTTTTCGCTTCAGCGCCGCGCGCAGTCGTCTTAGAAACATACAAGAGCTTCTCGGATTGAGGGCGCATCCATTTCAAAATGTGGTTCTCGCTTTAGTGCTTATCGATTGTCACGGACTCCCAAGATCAGCGTACCGGATAGGATTTTAGGGGATTCAGGCGAATGAGGGTGCACAAATTATGCTGCTCCGCGGTGTTCAAGTCCCAGGAATGGCGCTCTGGCACGATTCGGGACCGTCAAGACAAAACAGTCAAGTCGATCCGTGGCGTTGGAATCCCGAGAACATTGTTTTGGCATGCTTCAGGGTCTTCAAACAGTTGTCTTCCAACGAGGCAGTTCCCTCAGTAAACGTGAACCGCTGTAGGGGCGTATGAAGAGGGAGCTTGGAGGGAGGGTTTATTCCAACCTCGTTGATGCCTCTTGGGTTTACACTGGTCCTCCTCCTCCTCCTCCTCCTCCTCCTCCTCCTCCTCCTCCTCCTCCTCCCCCGCCGCCCCCTCCGAGGCCCCGGCCCCGGGCTTCGAGGGCCTCCTGCAGGAGGCCCTCGAGGCGCTGAGGCTCCAGCTGCTGGAGCGGCACCGGCAGGAACTCGAGGACCAGCGGCGCCAGGCCGAGGTCGGGAGGGGCGCCCGGAGGCAGTCCACGGCGGACTCCGAGGGCGACGTGTGCTGGCCCTCGGGTCTTGACGCATCTGCTGGTACGGAAAGAATGGGCACAATGCCCAACAGCAGTTCCTGTTAATTGTGAACAGGACCCGCTGTCCGCGCCGCCGCGGCCTATGTCCGTTCGAGACAGGAGGCCGCCTGCCCAACAGCGGCCGCTGCTGGTTTGGGACAACATTTGTTGGTGGGCATTGTGCCCATTCTTTCCGTTCCCATCCCGGGCGTCCGAATTGGGGATCTGGGCCCCCCAGGTGGGGTCGGAGCAGATGCGGTCGGAGGATCGCGCCACATCGCCGATGCATCGCCGGTGCGGCTCGATGTGGAGCCCGATTCGCTGCAATCGACGTCGCCGATGCATGGCCGACGTCGGCGATGCACCGCCGGTGCATCGTCGATACGTCGCCGACAATTGCCGATGTATCGGCGATGTGGCGCGATCCTCCGACCCCATTACTCCGACCCCATCTAGGAGGCCTCAAGGGTAGCAGCCAACAACATGAACATAACAATTCAGTTGGGCGTGTCCCTTTACAGGAGGGAGTATCATATAATAGTAAGAAATAGTTGTGCGACGACGTTTCCTCCATTCTTCTCGATTCTGGATGATTGTTTGAATATGTTGAACTTTTCGTCCGAACTCCGCCTGTAGGCCCGACCTAACAGAACAACTCGGAGGTCCACGCAGATCTCTTGGATTGGAGTCCCCCCGGCGGCACTGCCCCCTGGCGCCGCACCTGGCGTGCCAAGGAGGGGGGAGGTGGGTCCAGCGCCGATCCGAGCCGTCCGCGCGGGCCGCGGCGTGTTTGATGCTGATGTCTTCGTGGGTTCCTCCAGGATTAAGTCGGGCCTGTCCCTCTACAGGGGGAAATTCCACAATTGTGCAAAAATAGTCTGGGAACGTTTTTTGTTTCGATTGTTTTTGTATGTTTGGGAGTATTTGTTATTTTTAGCCTAAAATGAGACATCCGCGCGGACCTCGGAGTTTTTGATGTGGATGTCCTTTGTGGGGGGTCCCCCAGTCACCGGCGAACGTAGGTCATGGTAATGGATGAACGCGCATTCTGAAGACAAGTTCTTGAACAAGCGGTACTGGTTTAGAGCGAGGAGCAGATTTCCTGAATTGCGCCACCGGCTCAAAACAAGACAAAAGAGATCATTTGGTAAACGCATGAGCCGGTTTATTGGATTCACCAGCGGACTTTCTAAATCCAGGCCCGTTGCTCTTCAGCCCAGACCCCGTGACCTGAGTGGCTCGATCACCCAGGCCCGACGCGGCGAGCTCTGGCAGTGGCGGGGCGCTCTCGCTGGTCGCCGCGGAGGAGGCCGAGATCTCGTCGGTGCCGTCGGGGTACGACGGGCGGGCCCCCACGGCGCAGGCGCCAAGGCCGCACTACGTGATCCTCGAGAGCTGGGTGAGCGCGGTGCCGGTCTCCCAGCTGGCCGCCGTGGGGTCCGGAGGAGAGCCGCTGCAGGCCCCGCTCGGGCGGAAGAACGCGAGCATGAGCGGGCGAGCCCGGAAGACGGCAAGCTTGGGTCGGGCGCGGAGGACGGCGAGCATCGAGCATCGGGCATCGGGGGCGTCATCGGCGAAGGCGGACGAGGAGGATGACCGAGAGAGCAATTTTCTCGTCTTCGAGTCGCGGGGATTTGTATCCAGGTGGTTCATGGTGCATCCCGATCGGTGGAGGCTGACTGTCTGGAACTGGTTGAGCCTGTGGATGGTATTTTACGACGTAACCACCGTGCCGCTTTACACATTTTACACGTTTGGTCACCTTCCCAATGAGATCGTGTTGCTTGATTGGTTGGCTCGAGTCTTCTGGACCCTTGACATCCCTCTGTCCTTCACGACTGGCTTCTACAAGGAGGGCTATATAGAGATGAGGCCCAAGGTCGTGGCGCGGGCGTATGTTCGATCGTGGCTTCCCTTCGACATCTTGGTCGTCCTATCAGATTGGCTCGCCATCGCATTGGAGGACAACCTCACTCTCGCGGCGATGCCAGTACTGAGGCTGTTGCGGTTCGTCCGCATGTTCCGCCTTCTGAGGCTAAGTCGCCTCTCGCACATGATCAGCGAAATAATGTTGTTTGTTCCTGAAGGTTTCACGATCGTCGTCAGGATTGCGAAGTTCACCATTAACCTGTGCATCGGCATTCATGTCGTCGCATGTATGTGGTACGGCGTGGGCAGAAGCTCCAGCTCTGGATGGGTTTCCCAGGAGCCACTCCTAGAGTCTTCGGTGCTCTCCGAGCAGTACATATTCTCTGTGCACTGGGTCATCAGCCAGCTGCACGGCACGAGCTTTACTAGGCCGCAGACATTCTTGGAGATCTCTTTTCAGAGCTTGGTGCTCTTGGGTGCCCACGCCTTCGTCGCGGTGTTCGTCGCCTCCCTGACGCAGGCCATGATGGCCATCACGGACACTCAGAGAGTTCAGATGCAGCAGGTGTGCAGGGGGAGGGAGGAAGAGGAAGAGGAAAAATGAGTGGAGGTAGGCGGGGAAGGGAATGGAGTAGAAGGAGGAGGACGACGACGAAGGACGGAGGAGGAGGAGGAGGAGGAGGAGGAGGAGGAAGAGAAAGAACAAGAGGGAGATTGGGGAGGAGATGGCCGATGGCGACCACAACGAGGAGGACAACGGCGACGAGAAGAACGAGCCTCCAGACCCAGCGCGACGCTTCCCAAGGCCTCCCAGAGGCTCCTGGACCCGCCCAGGAGCCACCGACCCCCTGACCCAGACCCCCGACGTCGTGATTTTTCCACAGCGTCGACCCTCAGAGGTCTGGACCCATCCCCCCGGGACCGGTGTCTCACCCTGAATCGTCTCGTTGACGGCCCCGAGCGGCCCGGCGAGGGCCCCCGGGAGGTCGAAAGAAGTAGCGAGAAGCCTCCCGCCGCGGCTTGCTCGCCCCGCGAGGGGCTCCATATGGGGCCGCTGCAGGGAGCCCCGTCGCCCTCCCGCCGAAGCGCTGCGCGTGCGCGCGACGCGGCCGTGCTGCATGCAGCTGGTTTCGGCCTCACCGAGGGGCCCAGTCCTCAGTACATATGGGCGCCTCCCGGCGCCGGGAGGCGCCGGGAAAATCAGCTACGCGAGCTGATTCTCAAACCCCCCCTTTGCCATCCCCCCTTTCGCCCGACCCGACAGGCAGGATCGCGTCGCAGAGAAGAACATCCGGGCGGCGGGCCTGCGGCCGTTTTGGGCCTCGTGGGGCCCTCGCCGGGCCTCGGGAGCGGCAAGAAGCGACTCGGGCGGGCAAGCCGGTCCCGGGGAAGGGGGCTGGGACTCCTGGAGGCGCCGTCCTGCAGGAGCCGAGCGCCGCATATATTTTCTGGGCTGGTGTGTGTGTGTGTGTGTGTGTGTGTGTGCGTGCCAGCTGTGCACGGGGCGGCTACGGCTCGTCTCCCGCCCGGGCCGCGCTGCCCGGGCGAGGTCGGCTCCCGTATGGCCCACGTCCCGGCCCAGCTGTGCACGGGGCGGCTACGGCTCGTCTCCCGCCCGGCCGAGCTGCCCGGGCGAGGTCGGCTCCCGTATGCCATGGCCCACGTCCCGGCCCGTCTTTGCCGCGGCGGGCCCGGCCGCGGCGCCGAGGAGCCTCTCCAGGAGATTCCCCCGGAGCGGTCCGAGAGCGACGGCCGTGGGGGCCGCCGTGGTCTCGGCTCGCCCTCCTCCGGAGTAGAGTGCGGCAGGTGTGCAGGGGCGCAGGGAAGCGGGGTCGTCTGCGCCGGCGGTCGCGCGTGAGCTGCCCGCGCAGAGGCTCGCGCGTGAGCGCCCTCGTCTCCGATGTGGCGTGCCGCGCTGGCGGGCCGCGCGAGACACCGCGTAAGTTCGCTACGCCGTCTCGCGCAAGACCCGCTTGCGCTCGTCGATGAGGTGTGCTGCCTGCGCCGTCGGCTTCTCCTCCTCCTCCACCACCTCCTCCTCCTCCCTCCTCCTCCTCTCCTCCTCCTCCTCCTCCTCCTCCTCCTCCTCCTCTCCTCCTCCTCCTCCTCCTCCTCCTCCTCCTCCTCCTCCTCCTCCTCCTCCTCCTCCTCCTCCTCCTCCTCCTCCTCCTCCTCGTAAGGTGTGCAGGCGATACCTGCGCCGTCGGCACATCTCCCCCGCGCTCTCGTACCAGGTGGCCGCGCACTTCGGGGGGTCCAGCCAGAGGATGGGCCACAGCAGCGCTGAGGCCCGTGGAGCTCGGGGGGGAGGGAGGAGGAGCAGTAGTGGGGGGAGAGGAGGGAGAGCAGGAGGAGGAGGAGGAGGAGCAGGAGGAGGAGCAGGAGGAGGAGGAGGGGGAGGAGGCGGTCATTGCTGCAGCAGGCCAAATTTGTCTAGTGGTTACCCAGAGGATATCCGAAGACAAGTTGCGCAGCAATGCTGACCAGTTCCTACTCATGATCTCGGAGGCCCAGATCGTTCCTGAGCTCTTGGAGGCTCAAGGGTCGTCTATTGGCAGGCTCGTCACCAACCACAGGGACGTCGGTGTGGACTCCATGAAAGGGCACTGTAGGAGGCTCCAGACTCAGCAAACCAGGTCCCAGGAGGCATTCAAGATGGGGTTCTCTCGAAAATGTCTGGCTCAGGCGACAAGGTCCCTCGCATTTCCAGAGCCGCCTCTTTGTCGAATGCTGTGTGGGGAGCTGCCAACCTTTCAGTTTCTTATGCTGTATTTTGCAGGCTTCGTCTTCAGGGCGCTAAGGCTGCTCGAGCAAGAGGTGCCTCATTAGCTTCAGATTTCTGGCCAACCCACAACTGTGGCGGCGTGACCCTGTGGTGGTGATCTCGTCGCAAGCGGTCAGGTAGTTGATTGGCATTGTGCGGTCGAAAGCGGCGACGCAGAAAATGCTACGCAGCTGCTACGACGACGCTTGCAAGACTTTGGCCATGGCCAGACCGCGGGCTGCAGTAAAGCAGCCAATCGCAGCTTGATGCCTCGCGTTGTCAAAGCTGGGTTGGTCTCTTCATTTCGATTCCGTGCCCCCGGTGAATGATCTGGAAAGAAAGTGGTGTTATCAGAAGTTCTCGCCAGCCTTCTTTCGCAACATGATTCAGACTGGTGCCCGCAGCGCTATCGAGTGGGATGCGCAGTATAGGCAGGGCTGTGTCCAATATTTGAACGGCCTGGTCTTTAAGGCCCGTGCGAGTTATGCTGCCAGAGAAATGCTCCGGGCTGGGCTGATAATCGGAAGCATGCCTTGACAGCGATGGTGGCCAACGTGTAATGTGGACCCACCCATATGCTGCGAATGTTACTCCCGAGTGCAAGCTTGTCGATGTCCAGTTGGGTCTGCCCTTCATCGTAGTGTCGATCGCTCAGCGCATGATGGGTGGCGTCGTGAATATCTCGACCCTCAGGTTCGTCGTGCTGCGGATTGTGTTCGAGGTTTTTCGGCCCCTGGCAAAGAGCTATTATGTAGCGGATTGTTTTCCAGATCCTGGGAGATTCGCCTATAGACCAGATCGTCATGTGAGTGAGTGTTACACTCAGCGCGTCAATTGGCCTCGCGATGGTCTGGTGGAGGCTCCAGGCAGTCATTTGTATTTGGACGGTTCGGGCGTTGAGATGTCGTGGCCGTCTTGACGTGTTGTTGGATGGTCGGCGGTACTGGCGGATGTGAACGGCAACATTGTTTCGGCAATATTCGGCTTGGGTCCCGTCGCTGAGGGGCCAGACCGTGTGGCGGGAGATGGTGGGGACTACGCGGTGCTCCAGCTGTCGCGCCACGCCTTGTTGTCTCTGGGCGTAGGTGTTCACATCGACTGTGCGGCGACCCTGGGGTGTGCTGGGCGGCTTGGCAGTCCTGGCTGGAGCAAGGAACCTCGAGCACATTGGTGGACGGAAATCGGTGGTCGATTGTCTGGGCTTGTTTTTGAGAAGGTCGACTCGTACAAGTCGCACTCTGCGAGAAGGTAGGTGACGCACCGGGACTGGCGAGGCAACCCAGGGTTGGACCGTTTTGCCAAGCTTGGCGCCGAGTCCTTCAGAGCGTGCGGGGATGATTTGCTGGCAATCGGCGGTTGCGTGGCCAGGCGCGGTGCGCTTCAACAGGCAGCCTTGCCGCATGCAGGAGCATCTGATCCACGTAGTGTTATAGTGGATGAGTGCTGTCGAATTGGGCCCGATTCCAGGGCTTCCGATCCCAGGGTATGCTGAAGTTCCAGGTGGCTTTCCGGAGGACCATGATAGGGTCGACCCAGATGAGTTCGTTCCTGACCCTTGGACGTTCCGTGGGCATCCGATTCGTCGAGCTGGGGTCTTGAATCGGGTGTTGCTAGTAGTGCCCCTGGCCCAAGGTGCCCCCAGCCTTTCGCTCCGTTTTGGAGCCCCTGGGGCCCCCTGGGCCTCGTGAGGGGTGCCCTGGAGGCCGTCTGGGCCACCCTGAGAATCCTGGGGGTGCCTGGAGCCGGGGGTACTTCTAGCAACACCCGATTGGACGGGGATGAGCAGACGGACTCGACGATGGCTTCTTCCCCGTGCGGCAGCAGCGTCGCTTGAGAACTGCGCCATCCTGCGAGGGCACGGTGCAAGCCGTGCGAGGTCTGCCAAGAGGAGGGCGGCCGTGGGCACGAAGCAACCCAGCTGTACTCTTAGCTTCGGCATCGCTCGGACGTGTGCATCTCTTCTCGGCGAGGACCATCGAGGACCATCCTGGACCGCCGAGAAAAAGACACACGCACGAAACTGAAAAGTACACGGGAAATGGACGTCCGAGGGACGGCGAGTAGCTGCACTCGTCCGCTCAGCGGGTTCGCGGTGCGGGAAGCTTGTCGGGCAACGCCAAGGCCCGGTGGAGCGAGCTCCTGGAGAATGGGGGCCGCGGGCCGAGGCATGCGGCAGGAACTGCCGGGAGCGCGGGGGCGAAGTTTTATCATCAGAAGTCTTCTTCGTCGTACGCTGGGAGGTCCCAGGGCTCGATCCACTTGGCGTTGGCGGTCTTCGGCCTGTCCCTGGGAGCTGCTCGGGCCCTCGGTATGGTGGCCCGTGAGGCGGCCAAGAGAAGGGCTGTTGCTGAAAATGGGCTGCTCCCTGACGGCCCTTGAAGCTGTCCTGGGCCCTTCCCTGGCTGTTCGCCGGACACCCCTCTCGAGTCCCTGGGTGGCACCCGAACCGCTACCGAGCCACGTAAAAGGTGGAAGGGGAGGAGGAAGAGGAGGAGGAGGAGGAGGAAGTGTAGGAGGAGGGCAGGAGGAGGAGACAGAGGTGGAGGAGGAGGAGGAGGAGGAGAAGGGGGAGGGGGAAAGAGAGGAAGTGAAGAGGAGAATGACGAGGAGGAGGAAGATAGAAGGGAGAGTGTTTCGAATCTTCCTGGTTGCTTTCGGAAGCCTTCGGGGGCCTACAATGCTGGGCGTCCACACAAGGGGGTTGAGGGAGAAGGGGAGTAACAGGCTGCCAAGGAAGGGGAGGGGAAAAGGGAGGACGAGCTGGTTGGAATGGCGTCGCAGACTTTCCCATGCTCCTGGACGTCAAGTAGGAGGGACAGGAAGAGGAGCATTAGGAGGAGTAGATTGAAAATGGGAAGGAGGAGTAGACGGAGGAGGGGAAGGAATACGCGAAGTAGAAGGGGGCAGTCCACAGAGGGGGAGCGGCGGCCAAACATGGTTTGTCCGTCGCTTCGAGGACGCGGTGCTGGCTGTAGAAGGCGGATGTCGGCGCGCTTCGCAGGCTCCTCATCGGTTTCGTTGCCTCTTTCTTGCGGGGGGGGGGGAGATGGAGATGGCGGGCGGAGACGACGAAGACGACGACGACGACGACGACGACGACGACGACGATGGTCGACGACGAGACAACGAGACGACGAGGACGACAGATGACGATGACGAGGACGACAAACGACGAGACTGTCCGAAGGAGAGGAGGGGGAAGGAACAGGAGGAGGAGGAGGAGGAGGAGAAGAAGGAAGAAGGAGGACGGGACGACGCGAGTCACGACGACGAGCAGTGACAAGATACGGACGAGGATGAACGGAGAGCGACGAGCGACGAGCGACCGACGACGACGAATGACGAGCGACGACGACGAATAACAACAAGCGAGCGACGGCATGGACGCCTCCGATGATGACGACCGAGGTTGATGACGACCGATTTCGACGACGACAACAATGACATCAACGACGACGACGACGACGAAGAAGAAGAAGACGAAGACAACAACATCGTTCTTTAGGCCTCCTGGGGGGGTCCAGGGGCCCAAGGAGGGCCAAGCACGTCCAAACATCAAAATCTCCGATCTTCGATCCCGACGACGACGACGAACACCGCCGCCGACGAGTCGTCGTCGTCGGTTGCGGCAACGACGACCACCGACTTCGACGTTCGACGACTTCGACGACGACGCTTACGAAGACGGCGGCGACGAGGACGGCGCCGCTCCAGAGGCCCAAACAGTGCCGAGCACGTCGTCAATCCCCGACGACGACGACCCTCACCACCGACTTCGACGACGACAAAGACGACGCTGCTCCGGAGACCTCCGGAGGCACAAACATGGCCGGGCACGTCCAGCAAATTCGATCGCCGATCCCAGACGACGACGACGACGACGACGACGACGACGACGACGACGACCACGACGACGACGACGGACGTCGACGGACGACATGGACGGCGGACTGCAACGACGACGACGCACGTCGACGAACTGCGACGACGCACGACGTCGACGACGAGCGGCGACGGATGGCAGACGGGTAGCGACGGCGGGCGGAGGTCGAGGACAAGCTTGTGGAGTCCATGCCGTTGGTGCTGCAGCTGCAGCTGTACGAGGAGGTTTCGCCAGGGCTGGACCTATAAAAATTGTTTTGCTGGATTTCGAGCTGCGTTTTGTTTTCCGTCGTGGCGGAGAGGCCCAGGGGAACATGCAGAACGCATCGAGAATCAAATCGGGCCACGGAACGAAAAACCCCGTTTTGGTCCAGCCCGGAAGGTGCGCATGCCGCTGCTGAGGCTGGTGCCGCTGTTCAGGCCCCTCGGGGCCTGCGCCCTTGCCCAGGGGGCTCCTCGAGGATCTCGAGTATCGGGAGCGGCCAAGAGGGGGACGATGACTAGGGGGGGGGAACCCCTGGCGTGGGCCATGATATGTCCCCAGATTTCATGGCGCCTCTTTTAATTTCATCACGTCCCTGCCCCCCCCCCCCTGGGCCGCGCACATGCCGCCGGCCATGATCTGCCCCCCCCCTCTTGGAATTCCCCCCTCTTGGGACGCCCCCGAGAGTACCTCGAGGAGCTCGAGGGCCGGAGCCGGGGGAGGGCCAGTCGAGGCCCTCGGCGGCCCTCTCTCCCGGGAGGCTCGTCCAGGCTGGGCCTCCCGGTGGCCTCTCGCTGCCACGGCTGGTCTTTCTGCACGCACGCAATGGGCACGGAAAGAGTGGGTACAATGCCCAGCAGCAGTTCTTGTTCATTTGAACAGGACTCGCTGTTCGCGCCGCCGCGGCCTGTGTCCAGTTGAGGCAGAAGGCCGCCTGCCCAACAGCGGCCGCTGCTGGTTCGGGACAATATGTGCTGTTGGGCATTGTACCCATTTTTTCCGTGCCCATTTCGGGCGTCCAAAGATCTTGAGTTGCCGGGAGACTGGAAAAAGCGGTTGGGGCCAACCCTTCCTGATGGGCCGGTTTCCCACCACCATTATACCAGAGGTAGGAGGAGGAGGAGGAGGAGGAGGAAGAGGAAAAGGAGGAGGAGGAGAAGGATGAGGACGAAGAGGAGGGCCTCCCCATCCTCCTCCCTCGCCCTACCTATGGTAGTGGTGGTGGACAATTGGCCCATCATCCACCCCTCGCCAGTTTTCCTTACTTTGTGTGGGCGCACAACGCCATCGTAAGGGCGCGCGCACTCTGGTGAGGTGCATCGTGCGCGGGCACACATTTCGCGCCCACGCCCCTAGCCCGCGCGCATGTGGGCGAGATGCGCGCGCGGGCCGCCTCCCGCTCTCCTGCGCCTCGCGGCGCGCGGCCCCACGTGAAGGGCTTGCACGCGCGCGGCGCCTTGCTTGTTCATCGCTGCGCGCGGCCACCGCGACAAGGGCGCGCGTGTGCGCGGGCCGGCGGCTGCTCGCGGTGCGCGCGCGCGTGCGCTGCTGTTCTTGTTGCATCGCCATGGGCGCCATTCGGTTCTGGCGCGCATGGGCGCCGCTCGGTTCTGGCGCGCCGCGGGGATCCCATCGGGGTGGGCCGCGGCGCGCCTCGGGGTCGCGCGCGTCACAGGCGCTGGCGCTTCGCCGTCGCAGACGGCGCGCGCGCTTTCGCCCCACCCTCCCGCTCCCGGGGGTACTTGCATCCCTCCACGCTGGGCAGCGCCGCGGGTAGGTGCCGCTGCTCTTGTCTAGAGGGCGCAGGCACCTTCAGGCGCGGGAGGCTGTTGGCGCAGCTGTAATTTGTGCCAGCCCTGGCGACCTCATCCCAGTTTTTTCGTGCTCGTCGCAGCCCTTGCTGGTCTTGCCGAACCTGGCCAGCTCCACCTCGACGGGATTCCCAACTTCCGCGTGTCCCAGCCTCCCTGTGCTTGGGCTGGGCGGGAGAGCCGGCGTTGTCCGAAGTGGCCCTCCTCCGACGAAGATGTGCGGTCGGGGATCGAGGGTCGTCCTCGAGGGTGGGGGGTGCTGCTCGGGGGGTAGAGGATCTGGGGGTCGAAGGTCCAGGGTCGGAGGTCGGAGGCCGCAGATCCAGGGCCCACGATCGAAGGTCCAGGAGTACAGATCGTGGATCGGCTGCCGCCCTCGAGGATCGAGAAATTCGTCGAGATCTCGGGCTGATCCGCCGAGGGTCTCCCCCCCCTCTCCTCTCCGCATCACCCAGCCCCCACGAGGCGCGAGGGTCTGTCGAACCACCGGCTGCTGCGAGAGCTCTGCTGCAAGGCCATATCGGGAATCTCGCTGGTATCAGGCGTGGCTCCTGTTGTTCCTCGTCCTCCTCCTCTTTTCCTCCTCCTCCCCCCCTCCTCCTCCTCCTCCTCCTCCTTCTCCTCATCCTCCTCCTCCTCCTCCTCCTCCTCCTCCTCCTCCTCCTCCTCCTCCTCCTCCTCCTCATGTCCCTTTTCTTACTCATCCTCCTCCTCCCACTCTTCCGCTGCGTCAGCATCACCATCATAATACAGAACAACATCATCATCATCATCATCATCATCATCATCATCATCATCCTCATCATCATCATCACCATAAACGAACACAGCAGCACCATCAACAACACAACCAATAACAACAGCAACAACAACAACGACCACAACAACAGCAGCAACAGCAACGACAACAGCGACGACAACAACACCAACAACGACAACAACATCAGCAATCACAATCACAATCCCAATCAAACCATCATCATCGGCATCATCCGCATCCTCATCATTACCGCCATCGTCATCATCGTTATCACCCTCATCAACACCAACATCATCATCCTCGTCATCATTACTATCATCAACATCACCATCAGCACCATTGTCATCGTTATCGCCATCATCATCGTCGTCACCATCATTCTCATTATCATTATCATCGTCATCATCATCAATGCCGCCGCGAGCTCAGACCTCCGGAGACGCAGCGGTTTCCCCAGAAGCACCCCCTCGCCCAAAGTATATTGCGGAGGCCCTTCGACGGCACCACGCCAGCGGCCATGTTGCAGGCTGCGCTCCAGTATGCAGGCACAGCGCACCTGACAGCGTGGCAAGGATGCAGGCCAGCAGCAACGAACAAAAACCAGTAGCGCAGGAGGGAACGCCACCAGACCATCAGCCAGTTTTACGGGCGCTCCACGAAGCCTTGGCTTTGCATGAACCAGTACGGCTGGGGCAACCTGCGCCACCAGGGCACCTCAGACGCGAACCACTGCTCGATGACGACGGTGTTCGCGTCCCCAGATGCGATTTGCAGCAACCCGTGTGACACCCTGCGCACGATGAGTTATACAGAGGAAACGCGCATGATAGTATTTTAGGGCCCGTGGGCACGCACTGCTCACCCCCGCCAATGCAGGGGGGCAGATGGTACGGACCCGACGGGAAGTTGTCGACCCGATGTCCGCAGGCATAGCATTAAATCGGGCGTGTCCCCCTACAGGGGGATTTCGACGAAAAATGAAAAATACCCCCAAAATGCCCCAAAAAGGTCCAAGAATATTCAAAAAATAGTCCCCAGACTATTTCTGGATTATGTTTGATTATTTCTCGGGTATTTTTATTTTTCGTCGACGATCCCCCTTGTATGGGGGACGGGCCCGACTTAAGCATAGCAACTTGTAGGTGATCCTGCTGTCCGCCGGCACCGCGTCCAGATGCAGCCGCTCACCACACGCGGCCGGCACCCGTGCTGCAAGGCGCTGGGCGCCTCGGCCGCCCAGCGGACACGTGCGGGGCCCTGCAGGCGCTCAGCTCCGCCGGGAGCAGGATGCCCCGACGCTTCTGTCGGGCGTGCCCCCCTACAGGGGGATTTTCGACGAAGAGTAAAACATACCCCAACAAATCCCCCAAAAAGGGCAGACAATATTCAAAAAATAGTCCCCAGACTATTTTTTGATTATTTTTGGAGCATTTTAGGGGGTATGTTTCATTTTTCGTCGAAAATCCCCCGACGCGTGACCGACGCCCCACCATACGGAAGGTTCCGTTTACGATGCACGATCGGGCCGGACGAAAAGGGGGGGATTGGGAAACGGAGGGGGTACGAAATTTGCGGCATGCAGCTGGTGTTCCGGCCCCACCGAGGGGCCCATTCCTCGACACAGAGTCGCCTCCGGCGCCGGGAGGCGCAGGCGCCGGGAGAATCAACTACGTGAGCTGATTCTCAAACCCCCCCTCTGCTTATCCCCCCTTTCGCCCGACCCGGCATGAGTGCACGTTGGATGAGGGGGCGAGGCGCGCACACCGACGGTTCCGCTGGACGCAGCCCAGCCGTGACCACACGACAGGTCAGAACGACCCACACGTTCAAGATTCCCCATCGCATTGACGACCTCCGCGGTCGAGCAGGGGCCATTTCATTCCACCGAGGCCAGTTCCGTGTCCGCTGGATCGCGGCAGACTGCCCGCCTCGGCCGGGTGGGTTTGGGCAGCATCAACACCAGGGCCCCACGGATGCCGCCGACTGTGGACATGGGCGCACAGGACACTACAAGATACCCCATGTCGAGTCGCGCCGCGCATCCTCACTGACTTGAGTCAAGGGCTGGGGAAACGGGACCACTCTCTCTACACGGACACTTCTGCCGGACGATTCCAAGCCAGCGACGAGACCGAGTTCGGCCGATACGTCCACAGCCAGCTGATAACGATCGAGCTCGTGGCAGTGACAACACACACACACACTCACACACACACACAACACACACACACGTACATCGACATCGGCGACACCTATCACGGCCCCAAAAGTTCGCGCTGACGCATTGTTTCCGTCCTGGGACCTGATAACATCAGGGAAATAGTAAAAAAGTTGAGGATTGCAATGGAAGATCTCCAAGCTGAGTCGGGCCTTCACGCATGTCCAGGACCACGCACCTGTCGGAGGTTGGGGGGTTGGAACGGAAGTGACCCGAACGGGGAAATCGGTTTCGGTTTCGGATCGTGTCGTGCGTGCGGGCGGGGCGAAGGTTGCGCGAGTTCCATCCCCAGTAGAAGCCATGTATTGCGAAAAAGGGCCGCCCCCCGAGCGCCAGGCGTGGCCCCAGGTTGTCCTGGCGGTTGTCCCGTCGGTTGTCCCGATGGTTGTGGTTGTCCCGATGATTGTCCCGATGGTTGTCCCGATGGTTGTCCCGATGACTGTCCCGATGGTTGTCCCGATGGTTGTCTCGATGGTTGTCCCAATGGTTGTCCCGATGGGTTGTCCCGATGGTTGTCCTGCATGGTTGTCCCGATGGTTGTCCCGATGGTTGTCCCGATGATCGTCCCGATGGTTGTCCCGATGGTTGACCCGATGGGTTGTCCCGACGGTTGTCCCGATGGTTGTCCCGATGGTTGACCCAATGGTTGCCCCGATGGTTGTCCCGATGATTGTCCCGATGGTTGTCCCGATGGTTGTCCCGATGGTTGTCCCGATGGTTGTCCCGATGGTTGTCCCGATGGTTGTCCCGATGGTTGTCCCGATGGTTGTCCCGAGCTGTCCCGGTGGGTGTCCCGATGGTTGTCCCGATGGTTGTCCCGATGGTTGTCCTGATGGTTGTCTTGCTGGTTGATAAACAGATAGATCCATTGACAGATAGATAGGTGTATATATATGTGTGTATGTGTATCGTTGTCCCGATGGTTGTCCAGGGATGGGCGCGAAACGCATGCGAATCGCACTTGTTGCAAAGTGTTTCGCCTGCTTCGCGCGCGAAACGCATGCGAACCAAACTACTGCGAAGCGTTTCGCGCGCTGCGCGCGCGGAACGCATGCGATCCATTACTATTGCAATACAGTTTGCTCGCTGCGCGCGCGCGAAGCACACGGTACATAGTTAGATAAATAGATCGATAGTTAGGTATAGAGGTAGATAGATAGCTAGACAAAGCGATATATAGATAGACAGAGAGACATATAGTTATATCGTCATATATATATGTATGTATATCTATTTATATATGTATCGATATACTGTTGTCCCAAATAGGTAATTCGATAGATAGGTCGATAGATAGATTGGCAGATGTGTGCGACAATAGGAAAGTTGAAGAAACCACCAAAGAACCCAGAGCCATCGCAAATCGCCCGCCTTCACCTTCACCCCCCCCAACCTCCTTCTCACCCGTAGGGTGGTCCGATCGGTCAGAATACCTATACGACCACCCTTCGGCTGATAAGGAGTTTGGTGGGCGGGGGGAACGGACAAACTGACGACAATTGAACTCGCTGCGATGATGACAATGCTGGTGATGCGCCTTCGAGTTGGCGACGACGCGTGGTGACGATGCTGCGCCGCGATGTGACCACACTATCGATCCCACTAGATCGATCGCACCACGGGACACCGACGGGACACCGGATACCGATGGGGCACGGGACACCAACGTGACACCGACAGGACACTGACGGGAAACCGACATGACGGCGACGGGACAGCCACGGAACACCAAACGGGACACCGACGGGAAACGACGGGACACCACGGCGGGACAACCCAGCCACTCTGGGTGGGGGCTCTCCATTCCATGTCGATCTCACCTCCAACGTCCGACAGTTCCGAGTCCCGCTCAATGGCCAAAATGCCATCACGAACACATTCAAGCGGGATTGTGGCATTTTGACAGCTGGACTGCAGACGGGCAAGCATCGCGAGGGCTTCATCGCCGACGTGGCACTGCAGATAGACCTACACGATCACTCTTCGGGTGATAAAGAGGTAGTGGGGAGGGAAAGAACCAACTGATGACAATTGCGATGGTTGTGATGATTACGATGCTGGTGATGCGCACTCGAGTTGGCGACGACACATGATGACGATGATGGTGGCGATGAGTGATGGCGATTGCGATCTCACTATCGATCTCTCGACCTCACTCTCGATCTCAGTCTCGATCTCATTCTCGACACCACGGACACCACTATCAATCTTTCGATCGACTTCGGCGTCGATTTCACTCTCGATGTCACTCTCGACACCACGGGACACCACAGGACACCATGCGACATCACTTTCGATTTCACTACCAGCGGGACATTGACCAGGCGGGGAATAAGGGAGGGAATATGTATATGACCATGCGGACAGGATCTTGAGGCCTTCTTGCGAGCCATGTGGGGGCATTCGCGACCACGTTGGAGCCACGTTCGGCCAATCTTGTAGGCCACTCGGGCCGTCTCGGGGTGGTCTCCTCGGGGCCTCTTGCATTCCTGTGGGGCCTTCTCAAACTCATGTTGGATCTGCCCTGAGCCGGAAGCTCGTCACCTCAACCTTCAAACAATATGGATCGGGTATGGGCAAGACCCCGGGTAAGGGGACCCGGTTAGTGGTAGGGCCCCGGAGCCTTCGAATTGGCCAGAATCACTAAACCAGGTTTGCCATAGCTGGTTTTTTTCCCGGTGACGGCAGTTCCGGTGAGTGGAAATGGGACGGGGGGGCGCCCCCGGTGCAGATCACTGAACCAGGTTCCACTAAACCCAGTTCTGCCAACGCCCGAATGGATGCTGACGATACTTTCATCTTCCCCAGCGTTACGGGAGCCAGATGCGAACCCTACCCCTACCCCCCACGATTTCTGAGGGGGAGGGGGGGGGTTCACTTCGCTCGGGAGCTCCCGAGCGAAGTGAACCCCACCCCTACCCCCTCAGAAATCGGTGGGGGTCGGGCGACGAAATCTATACATATCCACTGCTCCCTGACCATGCCCATCTTGAACCCAGGAGCTGTGTATGCGCCCTCCTGGCCAAGCCAGGAGGGCGTGGCGTATACACCGCTGCGGGGTTGAGGATGGGCCTGGCCAGGGAGCAGTGGATATGTATAGATTTCGTCGCCCTATGGGGGGGTAGGGGGCAGGGTCCGCAGCTGGCTCCCTGAGCGTGCCACCTCGAAGATCACCGCGGCCATCCCGGGGCCGTGCAGGAGCCGCCTTGGGCGGCCGGGAGCGGCCGGCCGCGCGCGCGAGCACCGGCGGTGGCCGAGACACACGCCCCCACCCCCAGCCTTCAGTCGGGCCTGCCCCCCTACAGTCGGGGGCGGAAAAGAGGGGGGTGATGACTGGGGGGGGGTGGATATCATGGCGTGGGCCATGATATTTCCCCAGATCTCATGGCGCCTCTTCTTATTTCATTACGTCCCTGGCCCCCCCGCTGGGCCGCGCACATGCCGCCGGTCATGATTTGCACCCCCCCTCTTGGACACCCCCCTCTTGGCCGCTCCCGATACAGGGGGATTCTCGACGAACATAAAAAAATACCCCCAAAAATAAAAAAATAGTCCAATAATGATCTGGGGGCTATTTGTTGAGTATGTGTTTACCTTTTTGGGGCATGTTTGGGGCATGTTGTATTTTTCGTCGAAAATCCCCATGTAGGGGGACACGCCCGACATAACAGTATCGCTACGAGCCTCCATCAGAGTTTCCCCTGAGTTTGCCCTTCTCGGGAAGTTCACCGTCTTGAGGCTCCTAACAGATATGCTCATACTCAAACGTCTCTCAATGGATTGGTCGGCTGCTGGTCCAAAGATCCCAGCAGTCGCTTTCGCTGCACCAGCAGGTTTTCCCGCCCTTCTGAGGGATGGTCGTTGGAACCGGACCTCGGAGGAGGACATAATACCGGTACCATTCCCTCGTCTTCCTCTTTTTGGGCCTCCTGGGAGGCCCTCGTCGCCACCGCTGGATGCGCCTCGAAAGCCTCGTCAGAGCGCGCCCTGGGAGAGGTCTGGGGAGTAGCGGTATCGGTATCTGTTCGCTTCCCCAGGACGAATTGGAAACCCGGGTTGCATTTTCAATCTTGAGCACCCAAGAGGCAACAGTGGGTAGCGAGCAGGGCGTGGAACGTTCTCTCCAGGCCTCTCCCATGCCCACCGAGCGCCCCCGTGCAACTTGATACCATTGGGTGGGAATGGGCGGGGTCCGCTGACTCGTTCGACCTGGCTCATTTGACTTCTCCTCCTCTTCCGCATGCTCATCCACTGGTTCCTCATCCTCCTCCTCCACCTTCTCCTCCACCTCTTCTTCATCACCATCCTCGTCATCCTCATCATCAGCAGCATCAGCATCATCATCATCATCATCATCATCATCATCATCATCATCATCATCAGCATCATCATCATCATCATCATCATCATCATCATCATCATCATCATCATCATGTTCCTCCTCATCTTCCTCTTCCTTTTGATGCTCCTCCTTCGCCTCATCCTCCTCCTCGCTGCATCCTCCTCCTCGCTGCCCTTAGGCGAGCTGGTGTTCGGCCTCGGGGATTCCTGCAAGCGGATGATTGTCGTCGAATCCGGCTCAGGCGAGGGCGGAAAGGGACGGGGGAGGAGGACAGGGGGACGGAAAAGAGGAAGGGGGGGAAGAGGGAGGGGGAATGAGGGGAAGACGGGAGAGGAGAGGAAGGAGGGCGATGATATAGATCACGGGGGGGAGGGAGAGAAGGCGGAGACGATGGAGGCGGGGAGAAGAGGAAGGAGAAGGGGACTAGGGGGAAGGGGAAAGAAGGGGAAGTGCACGGGCGGATGGGGAGAGGGGGAGAGAGGAACAGAAGGAAGGCGTGATAGGGAGGCCAGAGAAATGGAAGGAGGGGAACGCAGAAGGGAAGGGGATAGGAATCGAGGCGAGGGGCGGGAGGAGGAGGGGAGCGGGGAGCAGGAGGGAGCGGCGGAGGACGGGTGGGAGAGATCAGGGCGGGGGAGAAGGCGGTGGAGTGGAGGGGGTAGGAGGGGGGCCAGGCTGCAGGGAGAGGGGACTGGGAAGGGGGGGGAGGGGCCCCAGGAGGGGCGGGAAGGGGTCTACATGAAGCTGAACGGTTCCAGCCTCTGCGTCCACGCGTTCGGGAAGACGCTGACGAACTACGTGAGGGAGGAGGCCGAGGAGTCCGACGTGAAGCACGTGGTGCGGCAGCGGGGACAGCACGTCAGCGAGGCCGCGCTGTGGACGCAGTGGGTCAACCGGGGGGAGTTCTTCTCGGAGGGGGACTGCACGATGCTGGTGGGCCATGGGCGGCCTGGGGCGACGGCGGAGGGACCCGGCGGCTGTCGCGACGGCCGCCGTCGTCGTCCTCCTCCTCCTCCTCCTCCTCCTCCTCCTCCTCCTCCTCCTCCTCCTCCTCCTCCTCCTCCTCCTCCTCTCAGAGGGGCTCCTCTGAGAGGCCTTCTCCCAGAGGCGCCTCCTCGGAGGCCCTGAGATCCGACGCTGCGAACAAATGCAGCATCGCGACAGGAGGAGGAGGAGGAGGAGGAGGAGGAGGACGAGGAGGAGGAGGAGGAGGAGGAGGAGGACGAGGACGAGGACGAGGACGAGGAGGAGGAGGAGGAGGAGGAGGAGGAGGAGGAGCCCTGGACCCCATCTGTCTGCGGCCCCGCCCGAGGCGGCTCCAGCTGCGCTGGCCCCCGGGGGCCCGACGCCGGGGGAGCACGCGCCCTGCGCGGCAGAACGCGGCGCCCGCGGGGTTCCTCTCGGAGGCCTCCGCCCCCTCCGCGTATGGCCTCCGGCTCCGGGCCCCCGGTGGGGCGCTCCCCCCCCGCTGGCCTCCACCTGAGCCGGGCGTCGGCCCCTTCGGGCCAGATTTGTGGGCTCGCCGCGGGGGAGGGGCGGGGCGGAAGGAGGGCGAGGCGGGAGCAGCGAGGAGGAGGGGGAGCAGCGAGGGGGAGGGGGAGGGGGAGGGGGAGGGGGGGAGGAGGGGAGGAGGAGGAGGAGGAGGAGGAGGAGGAGGAGGAGGAGGAGGAGGAGGAGGAGGAGGAGGAGGAGGAGGAGGAGGAGGACGAGGACGAGGACGAGGAGGAGGAGGAGGAGGAGGAGGAGGAGGAGGAGGAGGAGGAGCGACGAGGGGCGAGGACGAGGGACGATGGACGAGGGGCGAGGGGCGAGGGGCGAGGGGCGAGAGGGGAGCGAGGAGGGAGCAGGCGGCAGGCAGAGGGGAGGGCGGAGGGAGGTTCTGGATCACGGCGGCTTCGCCTCCATCGTGAGCGCGTACGAGTCCGCCCGCATCTTCGCCCTCAAGTACGCGAGCTGCTTCGTGGCCTGGCTGAACGACGTGGCCGGCACGAGTGTGGCGTCGGACGTGATGGAGGCCCCGAGGAGCGGGGATCGGGGGGGGCACGCCAGGGGAACGAAAGATAATGATAATGATACAGTCCAGGATTTCCGGGATTTCCCGAGGAGTCCTAGAATGCGCCGCACAGGCTGCAGAAACGAGGGATGTCACGGCCAGTGAGTTGAGCTCAGCGTGTCGCGCCGCTGGTTCTGGCCCACCGCTCTTCGTTGCGACGCGCTATCCACGGCCCCGTCCCGAAGAGGCAAAGTCTCGAGTGTTTCCCGACCTCCCGCCCCGCGGGGCGGAGCGACACACTGGCCCCGCGCAAGGCACAGCGTGTCGCCTGGGCCGCCGCCGCGACACGCTGAACAAAAGTTGTCGGCCGCAGATCCTCCTGAACTCCTGGAGCTCATCCTGGTCCAGTCGCATCATAACATCATGATTGCGGGCACCAGGGCCGCACAACAACAACGACGACAACAACGACAACAACAGCAACAACAGCAATATTACCAATCATTGTAAGACCGTTTGCTCTTATACGCCTGCTTCTCAATCAACATGCGTTTCCCAAACCCTGGATACCCGCCCTCTTCGTCTTCGACCGTACCCCCTTTAGGGGGGATATCTTTCTTCCCTGCTACGTGTGATTGGCGCAGCCTTAAGAGAACGGGGCCACTGAGGGCTGCAGGGGGGGCCAGGAAGGGCAGCGAGAGGGCCACGAAGAGCTGCATCGGGGCCACGAAGGTCAGCGAGGGGGGCTACGCAAGGCGACCGCGGGGCCACGAACGGCATCGAGGGGCCCAAATAGCGGGGCCACGAAAGGCATCGAGGAGGCCACGAAGGCAGCGGCGGGGCCTTCACATCCGACTGGGGCAGCAAAGGGCATCAGAACCGGCGAAAAGCAGCGAGGGGCGATTGCTGGCATTATCGGGCGGGTCAGGCGAGCGGACCCTGACGGGTGGGTCTAGCGGGCGGTTCGCGAACGCGTGAGTCCTGATCATTTGGCCAGGAAGTTTCGGGCGAGAGCGCGATTCCAAAGTGAATTATAAGGAAAGCCAAAGCGAGAGCGCAATTCTGAATGGCGAGAGCGCGGCGCTTTGTACCAAAATGGCATGGACGTTTCAGGCGAGAGCGCGATTCCTCAGTAAACTGCGAGGAGGTTGCACGTGGGAGCGGGGGGGGGGCAGCACATTGTGAGGAAGTATCAGGCTGGAGCCGTTGCTGTTGTCGTTCGGGGGCCCGGTGGCCAACTTGAGCCTCACGACTTTCCCTAGTAAAAAAAACAGGGTGCGAGCCCCAGAAGGGCACCCCAATCCAAAAAGTACAATGTGCGCCCGAAGCCGGATCAGCAATAGTTGTTGTTCACGAACTTCAAGTCGACATGAACAACAATAATTTCGCTCGTACCTGTTCGCGTGCCACCCAGCGCGTATATCCCTAACCGTCGATCATGCCCATTGGGTGTATATCTCCCTTACCTGCAACGCGTATCCCGTGCAGCCCCGACGACAAGGGACAAGAAGGGCGGATGGAAGGAAGGGGCACAGGGGGGGCAAGAGGATGGAGCACGAGAGACAGTAGCAGAAGGGAAGTAGGACCAAAAAGCGTGGCAGAACCAGACGGGCAGATCGGGCGGGTAGACCTTCACGGGCAGGTCGGGAAGGCGGGCCCAGGCGGCCAAGTCGAGCAGGCGGGTTGCTGAAACGTGAGTCCTAAATGAATCGCGAGGACGTCTCGAGCGATAGCGCGACCCCCAAGTAAATCGCAGGGAAATCTTTAGCGAGAGCGGGAGTCCTGGGTGTCGATGGCGCGGCGTCTGACTCAATGACGAGACCTTCCCACGTGACAGCGCGATTCCTGTATAAATTGTCAGGACGTCCCGCGCGAGAGCGCGATTTGGGAATACAATGCGAGGACGTATCGGGTGGCAGCCTTTGTTGTTGTAAGTCGGGTGCCAGGGCCACACTTTGGTGACACATTATACATTCTTTCCATTTGGAAAAGATCTGGGTGCGAGCCCCGGGAGGAGCACTTTAATTGAAAGAATACAGTGGTTACCAGGCAGTGGGGATCAACAATATTTCTCCTTTCGAAGCGCGAACTCAACAACAACAACAACAACAACAACAACAACAACAACAACAACACCACCAACAACAACAACAACAACAACAGCACCACCAACAACAACAACAATACCACAAACAACACCAACCATAACAATATGTTCAAGACTGCTCGCTTCTGTTCGCAAGCCATTCAACGCGTATATCCCAAATCTTCGATACCCGCACCCTTTGTCTGGAATCGCACCCCGGTGGTGTGTGTGTGTGTGTCAATGTCTGTATGTATGTATGTTTGTCTGGCTGTCTGTATGTATGTATGTATGTATGTATGTATGTATGTATGGTTTATTTATGCATTTCTGAATTTCTGTATATAGATACATATACATATGTGTGTGTGCGTTTCCTGCGACGTGTATGTCGCGCAGCCCCTAAAGCAGAAGAGGACGGATGCATTGAAGGGACAAGGGGAAGGACGAGGATGGAGGACGAGAGAGGATAGCAGGAGTGGGTTGGGAGCAGAAGCGCGTGTCAGAACCAGACGGGCAGCTCGGGCGGGTAGACCTTCACAGGCGGGTCCGAAAGGCGCCAGGTCGAGCAGGAAGGTTGCTGAAGCGTGCGTCCTACATGAGTCGCGAGGAAGTCTTGAGCGATAGCGCGACTCCCAAGTAAATCGTGGGGAAATCCTTAGCGACAGCAAGAGTCCTGAATGTCGAGGGCGCGGCGTCTGAATAAATGGCGAGGGCGTCCACGCGAAAGCGCGATTCTTGTATACATTGTGAGGATGTCCCGTGCGTGAGCGCGATTTGGGAATACACTGCGAGGACGTATCGGGCGGGAGCCGTTGTTGTTGTAGTTCGGGGGCCAACAACGCAGTTTGGTGGCCTCTCGCTTATTTTAATCAAGAACAGGGTGTGAGCCCTGGGAGAAACATTATGTGCCACAAAGTATACTGGTTACCCGAGGGGGAGTCAACAATAGGAAGCATTGAGAAATGAGAAAAAAAAACAACTACACCAATCATTTCACAACTGTTCGATCTTATCTGCTCGAATGCTATTCAACACGGATGTTCTAAACCCTCGTTACCCGCCCCCTTCGTTTTCGATAGTACCCCCGTTGGGGGTATATCTTCCATACCTGCCGCTGAACCCCCTAAGGCAGGGGAAGAGAGGACGGATGCGGGGGGGAAGAAATGGAACACGGGAGAAGCAGGAGGGGGGTTGGGAGCAGAAAGCACGTGGCAAAACCAGACGGGTTCATCGGCCGGGTCAGATCCAACGGGCGAGTCGGGAAGGCGGGCCCACGCGGCCAGGTCGAGCACGCGGGTGGCTGAAGCATGAGTATTGCATGAATCGCGGGGTGGTCTCGACCGATAGCGTGGTTCCAAAGCAAACCGTGAGAAAGGCACAAGCGAGAGCGTCAAAAAAAAGCGTCGAGGGCGCGGCGTCAGAAAAAACACGTGAAAGTCCCACGCGAGAGCGCGATTCTTGCATAGGTTGCGAAGGCGTCCCCCGCGAGGGCTCGATTTCGGAGTACACTGCGAGGAAGTACAAGGCGGGAGCATTTGTTGTTGTTGTAGTTCGGGGCCCTACAACCCAGTTTAGTGACACCCCGCTTTCCCTTGTAAAAGAACTGGATGCGAGCCCTTGGAGAAGCATTTTATTTTATAGAAGACAACGGTTACCGGACAGAAGGACCAGCCATTTTGTTTGGGGGAATGAGAATTCAACAGCAACAACACCAACAACACCAACAACAACAATCATTTCAATTATGTTCCCCTTATCTGTTCGCAGGCCACTCAACACGTATATTCCAAGCCTTAGATACTTGCACTTGTTGTGTTCGATCGTACCCCCTTAGCAGTATATCCGGCTTAATTGCAACGTGTATGTCGTGCATCTCCTAAGGCAGGGGAAGATAGGACGGATGGAAGGCAGGGACAAGGGGGAGGGAGGAGGATGGAACACGAGAAGAGAGCAGCAGGAGGGGGGCCAGGAGCAGAAAACACGTGGCAGAACCAAACGGGCACATCGGGCGGGTACACCCCAGTGGGCGGGTGGGAAAGGCGAGCCCAGGCGGCCAGGGCGACAGCACCCGTTTTGAGAATGATCATTCTTACATGCTAGCGTGCCATCCAGCGCGTATGTCCCGCACCTTCGATACGCGCCCTCTTCGTCTTCGACCCTACCCCCTCTGGGGGCATACCTTCCCTAGCTGCCGCGCGTAACTCGTGCAGCCCCGAAGGCAGGGGAAAGGAAGGCGAATGGAAGGGGGGGGGAAAAGGATGGAACACGGGATTCGCAGAAAGGGGGGTTAGGAGCAGAAAACACGTGGCAGAACCAGACGGGCAGATCGGGCTGCGGGTCGGGAGCGTGGGCCCATGCGGTTAGGTCGAGCAGGCGGGTTGTTCAAGCGTGAGTATTGCATCAATCGCGAGGGGTTTTCGAGCGATAGACCGATTCCAAAGTGAATCGCTGGGAAAACCACAACGGATCCTTGTGGTCTGAAATAGCGAGGGAGTCTCAGTTGAGGGCGCCTTTCTTGAGGTTCGGGCCCTCTCTGGCCAGGGTCTTTCGGAGTGCTTTGTGAGGAACCATCGCACGGGAGCGCTGTTGCTGGAGGGGCGGTTCGGGCGCACCCCTGAAACGTTTGAGCATGGCCTTCGATTTCCAAGGAAGTGCAGCGGGCGCCGAGGCCAGAGCGCCCGGGCAGATATGTGGGGTCCAACCACAGCGGCTCTGTGCTAGGTAGCAGTCAGTAAAACCATCATGTTGCGCGAATGCCGCATGCTTCTGCATGCCACGTGGCCACGTGCATCCATCATGGGGCCAGCCTCTTCCTTGACCAGCCCCGAACTCCCTATCCCCAAGATCGGCACGCCCAAAGGCGATGGAAATCTTAGGGACGCGCCTTCAAAAACGAAGGGAATCCCTAAGATTGGCATCGTGATGGGGAGATGCCCAACAGCATA